CGTTCAGGTTCTACCAATACTGAAGTCAGGTCTGTCGATTAAAGATTAGAGTTAGCTAATCGAATTGCGGTTTAACAATTAATACATTTGCTGAAGATTTTCATCCGGATACCTGGTGCGGAAACCAGTGCGAAGGTCCGCGATAACCGCGATGTCCCTTGTGCAAAAGCAAATACGCGAGGAGCAGTTTACGGGCACCAGTCCCAGTGTGAACACGCCCGTATCAGCTGCCGGGTTGGGGGCTGCCATAAACAGACAGGGCGGTGTCATCAGTGTTCCCGGACGATACACCGAGGGTTGTGACACCTGCCCCACCCGCCGCCCTAGCTACGACAACGTGAGGTACCGTCAACGGACCAGCGGCGCGTCTGGAAGGATGTGCCGAAGGGCGTGGGGACCACGAAACGTGTGGTCAAGGATGTGGTGAGCTTGTTATCAGACGGTGTTCGTATTATCGACATGGCTGGAGCTCCAGTAATGATAAACATATCCGTGCCGAACAGGTATTCGTCGGTGACGCCGTAGCGATGGTTGACAGGTTCGCAAGATGGCGTGGACCGGTGAAATTATCATCATTGTTATCGCGTTCACGTGCAGCAGATTTTACGGCCCCGATCAATTGAGTGAACTGCGTGAATATTGCCGTATCGATGGTAGACAGCGTGAATGGTTGCAGGATTCACGGCATGAAGTCGCGAGATAACAGTACAGATGATCGTGACCGAGACCCTCAAGTAACTGCAGAATGCGAGAAGGGATGGACGGTTCTCCGCTTCGATCAGCTGGTCTCTTTATGCTACCAACCAACCAACATTAATAGGTCAGCAAGTTACCAGTTAACGTCGTATCCGATTCACTTCATGATCTAAATCTAACCTGTCGAGCATGCGACAAAGATATTGTGGAATAATTCTTACCGTTAAAATTCTTGGGGATCGCGCTTTTGATTTTACCGTACGAACATTGTTTCAACCTGTTTATATGGTTATTATCGGGTCAATTTTCTTCGGTTTCATTTAAAGCAGCAGATTTAATGATACGCAATCAACAGCCGAGGTTACCAACAACATTTGCACGATGATGCCAGTTCTCATCAATACGCCAACGCATTGAATAAAGTCACCAGTAATATTTTGTTAAATTACACGGTACAAAACAGCCATATCATGGGTTTTGTTTCAACACAACTTACGTAAATCGACGTAATTCGCCAGCGCACAACCATATCCCTTTGTATTAACGAGAGACCGATAACGTCATTGATTCGCACGTCGGTTTCCGGCTGAGATTATCGCGAATCAGTCGAACAAAGCTGACAAAGACGTTCAAGAAAGGGCATATTTGTGCATACTTGTAATACATTGAAGAAATTTACCACTGCGTGACTAAACTGTCTGGCAACCGAAGCCGTCAGAAAATGTTCTCTGCGTTTTAATTCTGAGAATCAGCGATCACGCCTGCCATTTTACCGCTGGGCAAAATGCCAAAATCAATGTGCCAGACGTTAATAACATGTATATGTCGTTGCAGTAAATGTCATCCTCGATCGTTTTATATGAAGGACGACAGTAAACATTGTGCCTTCTGGCCTGTTACCGCCATACCGTTGAAGATTTCAACAGATCCGCCTGTTTGTTTACTGAATTTTGCCGGATAGTGTTTCGCTGAAGACGCCGTTACCGACACGTCACCTTCATTAAATCCTTTTCGATAGAATTTTTAGATCGCATCATAGCGTGAACATTTTTGACTTTTCGTCTGTTGCCGAAACACAGGTTGGGAATTCGATTATGGAAGTTGTTTTGGCAATTAAGGTATCAAAGTCGATGAACAAAGAATTATTACGTAAATAAGAAGCGACTTCAGGTCATGTTGCGCCAGACTAGGTCGTTGGATCATTTGAAAAGAGGCAATTGAAGCCGAGCCAGAGCCGCGCGGTATCAGTGTTAAAGCTTATTCGGCGAGCCTGTAAATACTTACACGATTAGCGGTAATATGGTACCCTTTGTCGATTATTTCACTGATAACATTGCGTACGAACATGGGCGTTTAAGCCCGTTTGCCGTGGAAGGTCCATTAGTTGAAGCTGGCGTCGATGGTCGATAGATGCATCAAGCTCCAGTCGAGGGTAAACGGTACTGGCATAAGCTGATTTCAGATTCGTGAACGTACCACGTTGGTCGGTTCAGATACACCATGAAATTGGTTTGACACTGGAATGTCATAGCGGAAGCAGTGGATGATGTGTATTATACCAGTTAATTAAGTAACAATACAGACGATGAAAAGCAAGATTGCGGCACGTTTATTGAAAAACATAATGCCGAATCCAACGCGAACTTCACACCGTTGGTAGAGAATAACAAGTGTGACCATAGATACGCTACTTTTACTTACACATACATTAACACACCATAAGACATACATACATTGCTACATACATACATACATACATACATTAAAGATACATGGTTATTGTTATTAAGATAATATTAAGAAGATACATATTATTATTATTATTACATAGATACATATATACATACATACATACATACATACATACATACATACATAATGAAGAATGAATTTTGTTAGAAGCTAAACGACCATGTAAGCATTTTCAAGTTAGGTCTGCCTTGTTTGTCAGGTTTACCGACAAGAAGAACAGTTTAGATACAAACGTTTGAACTCTTTAGCCCACATTTCAAACGACGGAATCCCCAATCTATTCATGAATACAGGAATGTTTATGCACAGTTCTTCATGGCTTCCCTAGTCGTCAAAGCATTAACAACGGGTACCTCTCTAGTAAATTGAAACTACCGTTTTAACTGTTTTATGTTTTAATAAGGTATATACACGTTATTCTTCATGAATAATACTCATACCGCTGCTTGCTGTCATAGTTCTTTTGGTGTAAAATGTATCTGCCAGTTTACCTACACTATCAGCAAGATGCATGTCACTGAGTACACACTGGTGGAGTTCACAGAAATCAACACTTTCAACAAACATCATTAGTATCCACTTCCATAGTAAGTATAGATAGAACTTTAGTCTTACAACGAACTGATTTCATTACATTGTAATCCCGCTCCCTTCTTTTTGTCTTAACATTCGAAAACTTGTTAAAAGTTTTGAAAATTTAAAATTAAGCATAATGGAATGACATTGAAGCATGCTATGACTATATATGGTAAAGCTTGTAGCACAGGCGGTATGGGTTGATACTCCGTGGGAACTGAGACTAGAATCCAGCATTTATAATACTTAGTGATTTCCAGTTATGGTAGGAAGCCAAGATCAGATGAAGTATTATTATACTGACTAACACAAATAGCCGATATGATAGCCACATAACCTGGATCAGAAGCTGGATTAGGTTTGTGTAAAAGTTGTTTGGTGTGTTGTTTAACGCCGCACTTGGCAATATATGGCGGCAGTCTGTGAATAATCGAGTCTGGACCGGACAATCCAGTGATAATCGATCTTCGGAATTCGGATACGATGACACGTGTCAACGAAGTCCGCGAGTCTGACCACAAGATTCTGTTGTTGTCTTAAGACAAGCATGGGTTATGAAGACCACCAATTCTAACCGATCTTCACACATCACACATGACTTCACTTGTTAGTACAACCATATGTACTCAGTGACACACATGCATCTTTACTTGCTGATAGTGTAGAGTAAACGGCGAGAGATACATTTACACCAAAGACTATGACAGCAAGCGGCAGTACCGAGTATTATTCATGAAGGCAACGATATATACCTTATTAAAACATAAAACACAGTTAAAACGGTAGTTTCAATTACTAGAAGAGGTACCCGTTGTTAATATACTTTGACGACTAGGGAAGCCATGAAAGAACTGTACATAAACATTTCCTGTATTCATGAATAGATTGGGGATTCTGTCCTCGTTGAAATGTGGGCTAAAAGTTCAAACGTTTGTATCTAAAAGCTGTTCTTCTTGTCGGTAAACTTGACCAAACAAAGGCAGACCTAACTTGAAAATGCTTACATAGTCGTTTGCTTCTAACAAAATTCATTCTTCGTATGTATGTATGTGCATGTATGTATGTATGTATGTATGTATGTATGTATGTATGTATGTATGTATGTATGTATGTATGTATGTATGTATGTATGTATGTATGTATGTATGTATGTATGTATGTATGTATGTATGTATGTATGTATGTCTTATGGTGTGTTAATGTATGTCAATAAGTAAAAGTAGCGTATCTATAGTCACACTTGTTATTCTCTACCAACAGTGTGAAGTTCGCGTTGGAACGTTAAGCATTATGTTTTCAATAAACGATGCCGCAATCCACTTTTCATCATCTGTATTGTTACCTGGGTGTTAGCAGTATGATACACATCTCTTTTCATAATAATGCACACACAACTTCCCTTGTGGGCTTCAATTCAAGTGTCAAATTTTCAATTTCGTTGAGTAAACAGCAGAAATATTATGCATGAATTACATTTCGTAATGAAAGGTACATTGGAACGCAAAGTAGGTTCACAGATCGCAAATCAGCTATATGACACCAGTACACCTGTGATTTGTTTACCTATCGAGCTGGGCGGTGCATCTATCACATTATCCGGGCACCTGTAACTCAGCTAAGTGTGGACCTTCCCACAGTAGGTGACTAAACGCCCTATGTGTTTCATGCGCAATGTTTATCTCAGTGAAATGTATCGACAAAGGACACCATGTACCGTAATCGTGTAAAGTGTTTACAAAGATACAGCAGATAACCTTTAAAGCGAAGTACACTGATACCACGCACGGCTACAACCGACTTCAATTGCCTCTTTTCAAATGATCCAACGACGTAGTTTCGTTGTCCTAGTCACAACAACATGATACAAGTCTATGTATTTACGCGTAGCGGATTCTTTGTTCATCGATTTTGATACCTTAATTGCCCAAAACAATGCTGCCAGTAACTCCTTATAATCCAGATTCACAACCACAACATGTTTCAGTAATAGACAAAAAGTCAAAATGGATACATATGATGCGATCTAAAAAGATTCCTATCGAAGGGATACATTTGTGAGGTGACATTAATTAGGTAACGGCACATTCTTCAAAAGAAAATTGAACCAAAGCACAATAGCATCCAGCAAAATTCAAAGAGTAAACAAAACAAGGCAGGATGTGACAAATGTAACAGTATATAGCGAGTAACGAATCAGAACAAACAATGTCATGACTTTACTGTATCAATATTCAAGACATGCAATCGGGAGGTAACTGTACAATCACTAAAACAAGAGCACAATATAAAACAATCGGGGATTACTTAGTGGCATTTGCTTTACAACGACTATATACACTGTTAATTAACGTCTAACATTGTTCTTTTTTAGCATTTTACTTAGCAGTAAAATGTAGGCATGATCATACTACAATTCTCTCAAATTATTGGTCGTACGGAAATTTCATTTTCTGACGCGAGGCGTTCTTCGAGTTGCCAATGGGTGGATTTGAATCACACAGTTGAACATAATAAAGGCATTCTTCAAATGTAATACAAATTATTCACGTTAAATATGCCCTTTCTTGAACGTCATTTTGTCAAGCATGTTCATTTGATTCTCACGATAATCTCAGCCAGGTATCATTTTGTGCAAATCAATGGCGATTGTAGTCGAACTCATGGTCGCTTTCTCATGGATATCTAAAAAGGGGATATAGGTTAAATTTGTGCCACTGGCAAGGCAAATTACATCAATTTGCATGGTTATTGTTAAGAAATAAAACCCATGATATGTATTTTGTACCATGTAATTTATAACATCGCTTAAAATGCTAATACACTGGTAACTTTTAACGTTCAAGTACGTTGCTCATGTGATGAGAACTGCTAACATCATCATTGCAAATGTTGTTAATTTAACCTCAGCCATTTGGTTGCAGCCACTCGTTAAATCTGCAAAAACAAATGAAACCAGAAAATTTATTGTCGTGCCATATAAATAGGTTATTGAAACTAATGTTTCATTTTGAAATGTAAATAAAAAGCTTTTCGGTCCCCAAGAACTGTAGTAGGATTTGTGAGATGCCATTTCCCCTCCACAACTATCTTTATCGCACATGCTTCATTGGGTTAGATTTTAAAATCATAAGAAAATCGAAATGGAATAGTTTTATACGACGTGCTAGAAACAGCTTGCTGACCTGGTGTATTTGGTTGGTTGGTAGCATAAGAGACCAGCTGATCGAGACACTGGAGGCCCGTCCATCCCTTCTCGCACATTCTGCAGTTGCCCGAAGTCTGGTCACAGTCAAGACATCTGTACGGACATGTCATCTCGCATTTCTTGCCGTGGAATCCTCTCATGCAACCATTTTCACACTGTCCTGCCATGTTACATGTAATATTCACGCAGTTCACTGAACACTCAGACTGACAGTCGGGGCCGTAAAGTCCTGCTTTGCACATGAGGCACGATGCTGAGTATTGATGGCATTTCATGCAGTCCGCGCCACATCTTTCGCTGCAGACTTCACCTGTCCAACCATCCTTGCAGCCGTCAATGCACCGGCCAGACACGTGTCTGTTCAGACAGTTATGTTTATCACATTTTCGTCCATGCCACCCTTCCATACAATCAGATATGCAGACACCGTCCTCCTGGTAACAAGCCTTCTCCTTACATCCTTGACCACACGTTTCGTTACACGTGGTCCCCCACCACCCTTCAGCACATCCTTCCAGACACTTGCCGCTGGTCCGTTGACAGTACCTCACGTTGTCGTAGCTAAGACGGCAGGTACTGGGGCAGAGTGTGTCACAACCCTCGGTGTATCGTCCAGGAACACACTGATGACACCGCCCTGTCTGTTTATGGCAGCCCCCCAACCAGCAGCTGATACAGGCGTGTTCACACTGGGACCCCCAGTACCCATACAAACACTCCTCGCATGTGCCACTTTTACACAAAGGACATCTTGATTCATCGCAGACCTTCACACTGGTTCCACCTGGAAGTATCAGATGAAAGAACATCTTCAGCTAAATGTATATTAGACATTTAAACCGCACAGACTCAATTCAGTTGCTAAACAACTCTAATCTTTGAGAATCGACTTAAGGACCTACGACTGGGTATTTGGTTAGAGATACGAACGGAGACGAAGGGGTATGTTTTCCGGACATCCAGCACAATCAGCCGGCACATTATTTGTTTGTAAAACTCGAGAACACACAATCTTTACTGGATCAATTTAATTCCAGTATGTAAACAATGTTCCTCCAAGTAGCTTTTGGATCAAAGCGAAGCTACACTTACAGCAGACAAGCTGAATCACCAACACAGTGAGGAGTGTACTCTGAAATGATAAATGTGTGATGAATCAGATGAATCTGACTTTTAGTGCTTGAATCAGTGTTTTCGTTGATTCAGGGGATGCATAATACTATGACAAGAGAAATAAGACTCAGCTTATATTTCAAACAATACCACGTCGGTGGTCAAGGCAAATAAACAAGCCAATGAAATAGTTACCTTGACATTGTTAAACAATAACAATGAGTAATATTTATCACTCAAACTGATCTAACAAATTACACTGGGTGACACAGTCAATATACCGCGTCCCTAACAACTGTCTCGTTGACAGATCAGCACAACTCGAAGTGTGAACTAGTAAGCGCAGTACGGGTAGCAGTTGTTGGCCGTTATCTCTATTTGACAACACCACACAGACATGTACCTTACACATCTTGCAATATGCAGGTATTCCGGTTTTCACAGATCTTGTTTGTGTTGGTTCTGCATAAAACAAAGGACATGACGTTATCATAGGATCTGTAATTAAATACAGAACTGTAACCTAAATTCGTGGATCGCGGTAATTATCATGCTAGCTCGTAAATTAAGTCTCGACTGACGTCACGAAGCGGTACTTTTGATGTACATACAATGCCATGAATCTCTGCATTACACGCAAGTACTCTAAAAATAATTGTCCAGCACTGAGATAAATAGTCCCAGATCACTAATGCCACGATTACCAAATTCTTTTTCTTCGAAATGTCAAGCGATACCGTTAGCTCCAACCTTCTTACCTTGTCTGCTTTCCTTGGTGTCAATACTTACTGCAGTGGGATGTCGTACATTTTGGTATAAAGTAACCAACTACGTAATCCACGAAACAAGGTGACGTCACATTTTGTTGGCACACGAATGGGTGATGATTGCAAATGGCTTCGGTAAGCAAAGGTTTCATTCTCGAGTGGAATATTAGGTATTTTCAGTGAATAAAATAAGCAGTGCGTATACAAAATTAAATCATGCATTTAAAATATGAATTTCGCCGCACTTCACTTATATCCACAAATCAAGGTTACGCGAGTGTACATAGGTGGGCAGAGATCCATGCTGCTTTATTTATAACCTTACTCTAACGATATGTAAGAAACAAGAACAAATCGTGTGGAATTTTACTGTCCACGAGAAACAGTTCTATTCTCTCAACTCACAGATACTGCGCGTTCCTCAAGCTGCTGGCGATGTCTTCCTCCGGTGACTATATCTCCGGGGTTGAGACTAGTACCTCAACTATAAGTACGTGGGTATGCTTTCACGCCAATTTCAGCAACACTCCAGGTATATCACGGCGAGGTACCCCAGAAATGAGCTCTACACAGTGCGACCATGTGGGAATCAAACCTGGGTCTTAAGAGAAGTTTATGTTAAGGTATGGGAGTTACGGTCACCTTAGCGCTAAGATTGCTTTGAACAACGGCACCCAGGCTTATTCCACCCCCAACTGAAACAAGAAAACATCATCATTAAATATTGTAGTCTTACATTAAACAATAACAACATCAACAGTAAACATTGTGCAAATACATGCAAGCACAACACATAATACTAGTTAACAGAAATGTACGTCATTTTAGATCTACACATATTACCTTCAATATTCTACAGATAATGCCAGTAGTCAGTCAGTAGTGACACCTCCAGATTACCCAACCTGCCCCGACGCGCAGTGAGGGCAAAATGTTGACATATATCTGCAGTCGTTGTGTAACACTAGCTGATATCAGATAAGACTTTTAGTACACTTAAGCCTACTGAGAGTTATGTGTTGCTGAATGCAAAAACTAAGGATATGCGTGTTACAACCCAGCGCAGAGTTCGCCGATCGCCCACTGCACGGGACAAACTGTATACTGCATGTGATAGTTGCACTATAAATTACTACTTGTGCGAGGTCTTCAGAATCCATTGTCTTTGACTCCCTACTGGGGGCTTTGGAATTCAGCACAGCAACGAAGTGCATAAGCGTATGCAGAGCATGTTTTTCACTGAAATTGATTGTCTTTTCTTAGAAGAAGACAAAAACATCAGTAACTTTAATTCTGATTTATTTGCCCGTTTAGTAGTGCCTGTGGGAACTCCGCATCTTTATAAGAGAAAAGACCCATTAAAAAACTCATCTTAAGCTTTTCTGATTTCTGTGGTATTTATCATTTATTGTCAAATTTGCATATTTTGAATCCATATCACAGACTGAACTGCAAGCAAAAGCAGCAGAGAACAGCAAACTAGATTGAACCAGATTTTAAGGCAATGAGAAACACAGAAATAGAAAATGTTGCCCTAAATAAAGTTAAACATGTATACATGAGATCGAAGTAGACAATAAATTACAATTACCAAGAAAACATAAACGGTGGAAATAACACCAACACAAATAACACCTATGGGCATGGTGGAGTTTGACAACTTGTCCATGAACAGAGCAAGACATGACCCACATAAACACAATCACTTACACAACAGTCATCGTGTTATCTTGACTGATTATCTACCCACGCGCATTCTAGCTTGTTCCATGATATGAACTGTTCTACTTACACTCCAGTTGTTGTTGTTATTAGTGCATGTACACTTTGGAGTGAGTGCGTTTAGATTTACGCCGCATTCAGCAATATTCCAGCTATATGGCGGCGGTCTGTTAATAATCCAGGCTGGACCAGACAATCCAGTGATCAACAGCATGAGCATCAATCTGCGCAGTTGGGAACCGATGACATCAACCAAGCCAGCGAGCCTGACCACCAGATCCCATTAGTCGTCTCTTACGACAAGCATGCGTCACTGGAGATCAATTCTAACCCGGTTCTTTACGGGCACAACACTTTGGACAGATTACGTTTACAGATAACCAAAACGTCCTTCCTATTTTACATTCAGTGCATCTCCCCGTGCCTTGTTCATATAACAAGGATATGTCTGCTTGTTTCGTGACATGGACAGTACAACCTTGAACGCCCCTTTCATTCACATTGTTTGTTATATATACTGAACCACAAAAGAAACGTCGCCTTTCAAAACCGAATGCAAAATTTTGTTCTTACAAGGTGTTGTAGTTATTATGATTGTACTGTTTTGTTAACATGTTTTTTCAATCCAATTTGACATTTATTACCTACATCAGTGTGTTTTCTGATGAAAAAGCATATCGACCAAACGCACCGAAAAAGGCAGTGATGTTAAATGGTTATTCATTCCTGACTAATGAAAATGCACGTGCATGTCGTGACAACCCTACCAATGAAAGCGAGTCCCAAACTCGCCTGATTTTTTATTTTGACACAATCACCATGCCTCGAGTTACGAGAGATCAGAGGAACCAAGTATTGGGACGATTGCAAATTGTCCAGAGTGCACGGAGAATAGACAATCATTTTAATGTTCATGTTAGGACAATCTACGGACTCCAGGAGTGGTATCAGGTCACTAACAGCATCCAAGACCATCCGCGCAATGGGCGACCTTCAGTAACACCACAACGTAAAGACCGACAGATTGTGCGCCACCATCTGCATGGTCGCTTCCCCAGAGCGACAGAAACAACGCAACAGACTCGTCAGTGCCGATACAGTGCGTCGACGTTTGCGCGAAAGAAACCTCTGCTGTCACAGACCATATCGTAGTCCTGTCCTCACCGCTCATCACCGGCAAAACCGACTGCAGTGGGCAACTCAGCATCGAAATTGGTGTTATCGGCAATGGAGAACTGTGAACATGAAAGCCAATATTGTGGTTCTACTGTCGATGGCAGAGTGAGAGTATGGTAAAGGTGCGGGGAACTGTTTTCCAATGAGTGTATTGTTGAAAGAGACTCGTTGGGTGGTCCAAGCATCATGGTGTGGGGTGCAATCGCTCTGAACCAGAGAGGTGGCACAATGGTGTTCCAGAATCTCGGTTCAAGATGAGGAAATGATGTGACAGCTGCTGGGTATGAAGCCCAGACCAGTTGCAGTATTATTATAATGATTAGGTGTGTGTAAATGTTGGTTATGGTCTGTAAATAATCGAGTATGAACCAGATGCAGTGATAAACAGCTTGAGCATCGATCTTCGCAATTGGCATACGATGACATGTGTCAACCAATTCAGCAAGTCTGACCACCCGAGTCCGTTGTCAAGGATGGGTTACTGAAGACCAATTCTAACCCGATCTTTATAGATCTCACACATGACTGACTGTTGTGTACAACAACATGTACTCAGTGACACAAGCATCTTGCTGATAGCGTAGATAAATGACGGAGATACATTTACACCAAGGCTATGACAGCAAGCGGCAGTACCGAGTATTATTCATGAAGGCAACGTGTATATATATACCTTATTAAAACATAAAACAGTTAATATGGTAGTTTCAGTACTAGAGAGATAGCCGTTGTCAATACCTTGACGACGTGGGAAGCCATGAAAGAACTGTAAATAAACATTACCTGTATTCATGTATAGATTCCGTCGTTGAAATGTGTGCTACAGTTCAAACGTTTATATCTAAAATTGTTCTTCTTGTCGGTAAACTTGACCAAACAGGCCGACCTAACCTGAATATGCTTACATAAATGTCAGTCGTTTGCTTCTAATAAAATGCTTTCTTCGATCACTGAGTTAACGCAAATCACATAGAAAGATTCGCTAGGGCATGAAAAAGCAAAAAAATAAGTGAAAAAAGCACGAATGGACCACTGGAAATCAATGATGGCCTCGAGTATTGTCGAAAGAGGTCAGTATTTTGTTGCAACTAAACCGATACGTCTGTTGTGACCTTAAATGTAGAATGGGCTTAAGTGTAAAATAATCATGTCATTGAATATTCATCAGTGGGCGTAGCTTATGTGCTACGTCACATACACGGCCTAGTATCTTCCGCAGAACAAGCGAAGGGAGCTGCAACTTCGGAGAGGTACTGCAGTACTGTTGGTAGCGCTGCTATCAAAATATTGACATGTCTTTCTCAATCGTAACTTTTCATAGCAATCCCACCAAACAGAGTAACATCTCTTGGCAACCAACTAAATACGTATGCCATACATATTTACATACATACTACCAAATGTAATTAAGTTCACCGTACGTAAAAAGTGGGTCAATTCTAATAGTGCACCTAGTGTAGGAAAGTTTACCCAGGCAAGTAATGCTACCCTCTGGCTCTCAGGGCACTACAAACTTTGAAAAAATATTTTAGATTGATATCCCAGGATATAACCCTTAATGGCAACAAATATTTCTGGAATTTGGGTCGTATATCTGAAGTACCAAGGGGAATCCTTACTAGTTTTTGGTATGAACCCGCAGATAAATATATTAAGGATAAAATAAGGATTATGATAAAAAGTAACAATCACTATGCCAACACTCGGCCAGCTTTATATGTCTGGGTAAGGCATGTCCTCTCCACCGATCGCATACTGTAAGGGTGTGTTTGTACTTGTCTTGAAGCTTTAAGTTTACTGATTGGCAGTTGAAAATCACTTTCATATTTTTATAACTGAAATAACTCCAAAGTAATTAATTTGGTAGTTTTTCTGAAATCATGTTCATGATATTTCCAATATCCCTTTGACCCCTCATCCCTTGGACCATGCACAACCCCCTGTAGATTGAAAATTTCATTCACTCTCTCTCCCATTTCAGCCATTATGGGTCGCTTCCTGGGCACGTCAAGGTGGACAGTCAGTGAGCACCTCAGAGGTTCTACCAGTTACCCAGCAGGGCTTCATCCAGCCCCAAGCACCCCAGGGGACTGGTTATCATTCTCTTCGTATAAGCGCATCTCATGTCTATCAATCACAGACTTTGATTACTCAGCATAACAAAACCGGCAGAGGTTAATTTTCATATGATATAACTTAATATATAGATAGATATAGATATAGATATAGATATATATATATATATATATATATATATATATATATATATAACTTTGGGATGATAGTGGGCAAAGTAACAGAAATAAGTTCCGGACATATCGCTTGTTTAAATCTTCACTGATCCTAAAATTACTTTGTAAAATATTAATAATAATAATAGTCCATTTGTCATGCGCATTGCTCCATGCGTAATGCATGCTTGAAGGATTATAGGATTAAAAGGTTTTCGGAAAAAAAATCCTTGGAAAGAAAAGGCGCCCAATATCTACAGTCATACAGCATAGGGTTCAGATAAGTTCATTTGAAACACTTCAACAAGTAGGGTAGGCGTTTTGGAAGAAATAGGTTTTCAGGTATGATCTGAATGCTGAATAGGATTGTGCAGTTATAAGGAAAACCACATTTGTAAACATTGTAAAACTAATAGTATTGAGTACAAGGTGCGTTTTCTAAGAAATTGTAGTTTTTATTCAGGTAAGAAAAAATTTTATATGTTTGGATTCGTGCGTCATA